CTTGATATGACACCAGAGGTGTTGAAACAAAATGGCTACTTTTGTAATGATTTTATAACATATTTACGTTATAATTTTTAAATAAATGATTATATATATATATATATATATATATATATATAAAGAACAGTAAGATATATAATCCGGTGTTCTTATTGATATTATTATAAATTAACTGATTTAAAATATGGTTTCTTCGCTACACAGTAATAGCCATGTTTCAAAAACTGAAGCTAAAAACTTCAAATTTAATTAAATCAAAAGCATTAGTTCTGTCCCATCTTCGAGCGAATTTTTTAAATTTTTTAAATATATATACATATATTATATATATATATATATATATATATATATATATATATATATATATATATATATATCAATTAACAAGTGAATCTTACACTGATTCGAACTCCCGACCTAGAAGTACACAAACAAGTAACATATCCCCTACGTCAACGATCTGCTGTGTTAACAGCACAATAAAGGTAATATTCAATCAGAAAGAGAGAAGTCACTTATGAGTAGGCAGTACTTATTCTGATTATCCTAACACATTGAGAGGTTTAAAAATATGTTCCAATAATTCCAAATTCCAGATAATTGAATGCCGAAATTAGAAAGAAAGTCATTTTCTGAAAGGGATTTAGCATTTATATCATCAAATAACATTTTTCGAGCGCTTTCTTCAAGTGTTTGCCCAGTTTATTTTTTGATGTGAAAAAATGCGTCAATTTTTGTCAGTTTCTATATGGCCTCGCGTTTTTCTGTCGCTAACTTCCGCAACTAGTTTAAAGTGTATTTTTAAGGGTATCCTTGGGTTGAAAGTGAAACCAACTTAAAAAAATTTTCAAGCGTAATCATTACTTCAAGCTTTAAAATTAGACATTGGAGTTTCCGAACTTCAACGTCAGCAATACCATTATCCGCTTCCTGTTCTTCAACATTTGGCACCACGGTTATGAGTCCAAAGACACCCTGGTCACTTAGGTGTTCATAACCATCTGAGAATTGCGCAAACCACAATATCTGGCCTAACCAGATAAACTAACTGAATACAGAAATTAGCGAAAATGTACTACGTAAAGAAAGTCATTTTCTGAAAGACATTTAGCATTTATATCATCAAATAACATTTTTCAAACTCTTTCTTCAAGACTTTGTCCAGTTTATTTTCGATTAAAAAAATGTGTCAATTTTTTTGTCTATTTCCTGCTGCTCACGCATTTTACTGCTGCTTACTCCCGAAGCTGGTTTAAAGCAAAAGTATTTGTAAGGCTAGCCTCCAATTTAAACATTAAGGCACATCATGGCTTCGGTATTTGAAATGAGGCATTGGGAATGTTCAGCTTCAACGTGAAGAATGTCATTAGCCTCCACCTCTTCAACATTTCCCAGCGTGGTTATAATTCCTGCAATACACTGATTCCTGTGATAATTCAAATGTATGTTGTTTATATGAAAACAACGAGGAAATTAAATAATTGAACGGACATTGTAGACAACTTTATCAAACGTTGAATATGGTTTTCTAAACTTTCAAAACGCTTGTCTGGGATGAAAAAAAATTATTAAAATGAATTTAGTTCGGATAATTGAAAAATATTCTAATGATTTAATTTCTTTCTTCATTTCCTGTACGGGTAATTGAATTCCGCGTAATCGAGTTAAGGATAATTTAATCCTGAAAAATTAGCTTATGGTAAACTTTTCCGGAAATTCGAGTTATGGTAACTACATTTAAGAATTCATTTTTTTTTTCTTCTCTTCATTTCACGTCCGGATAATTGAACTCCGGATAATCGAGTAATTAATAATCAAATTCCGGAAAATCGAAATATGGTAACCGGATTCCGGAAAATTCCGGAAAATCAAATTCCGGAAAATCGAAATATGGTAACCGGATTCCGGAAAATCGAGTCGCGGTAACCGGATAACCGAGTAATTGATAATCAAATTCCGGAAAATCGAAATATGGTAACCGGATTCCGGAAAATCGAGTCGCGGTAACCGGATTCCAGAAAATCGAGTGGAGGTAACTGGATTCCGGAACATTAAATTACTGATAATCGAATTTCAGAAAATCGAATTGTGATAACAGGATTCCTTAAAATCTAGGTACGGATAATCGATGAAGTACAATATTAGAATGATCTTGTATGTACTGACACCATCACCGTTTTCGGATATGACACACTATCTGTTTAGCGTGGGATGCTCACACGTGTACATTTGTGTCAAAAACATAAAATTACATAGTTGCCACAACTGCTATCACACTTGCCCAAGAATAATCTTACCCTCCCGCAATGGGTTAATTTAAAATCCAGCATACGTTAACTGGCTTCAATACAAGACAAAAAACTTTCTGGTCGTAGAATTTGATAAGGATATTCATTACCTGTTCCGCAAAATTCCGAAGCACTTTCAATAAACGCACAATTTATCTTTCTCATTCCGACCTGTAAATGACAAACATGAAGAGGTGAAACCCGTTGTCTGTATAGCTTTTCCACTTTGTCTCTGCTTATGTTCAGATAATTTCTATATTCTTCTAACACACATATATATCCAATGTGGCATTCTTGTTTTTGACGGTCAGATGTTTGAAATGAAATCAGGTTCATATGATATAACTTTGGAATAGATTTTTGCGTCACGAACTTGCATTTCAAAGGAACTTCAAAGCATGTGCTACTATAGTAAAAAGAATTGCTGTCCCGTGATGTAGAGGACCTCCTTAATTTTTAATCATGAATCCACGTTCATTTTAATCTTAGAGCCGTTACCAACATAAATGGACATATACACTGGACATATATGTTGACTTTCTATTTGTTTTCTTTAAAAAAATAGATAGATAGATAGATAGATAGATAGATAGATAGATAGATAGATAGATAGATAGATAGATAGATATGAAAAGGGCTGAGATAGATAGATAGATAGATAGATAGATAGATAGATAGATAGATAGTCTTTCCGAATGTAATGTCTCCTATTTATTGTCCCCGGGGCTTGTGGAACTCTCTTCCAGATTCTTGCTTTACAATCAACTGAGATCTTCAAAAATTTAAATGCAATATCAATCGTTATCTCTTGTCTTCTTAATTCATCTCCTTTTATTGTTTTCTCTTCTTGATGTCTTCTTTTTCTTATATTCTTTCACACTATGTAACCCTATACGTCTTAGTAGCTTTATGTAAAATGAAGGCTTAATACGGCAAAAGGCAAATGTACGTAAGAAAATTGTTACGTCAAGTGAAAAGCGCCTCTGTGCTTTAAAGTTAGTAAACGAAGTCTTGATTTTAAACCGGGGCTTCAGAATTATTAAATAATTGAATTGAAATAACATTCTAAACTTTATCTTTAGTGGGTACACGTATTTGAATAGGCATTCTGTTCTTTTTTCAAACTATATCAGTTAATCCACCTCCCTGCGTATTTGAAAGACGTGATAAAAAATGTGCTCTCCGATAGGTTCCCAAATTTGAAAGAAAAATAAAGAGAACAGGTCGTCTATTCAAACAAAGTGTATCCACTAAAGATAACGTTTAGAGTAATGAGAAATAATAACGGCTTAAAAATAAAATCCATTAATTCGTTAGAAAATATATATACCTATATAATTCAGCAACACGGCACGCTAAAATCTTTCCCTAATAATTTCCCTTTTTTTTTTCCTTTTCGCTTATAACTGAACAAATGGCGTTGGTCTAAGGCAAGGATTCTCGACGAGTGCGCCTGGGAACACTAATATGCTCTGAAAGGTAGCTAAGAGATAAACCACTACTCCTGTACAAAAGAACGGGGAGGAGTGTGATGTAGGCCTCCGTGTTTAGTCTGAGACCCTCACCAACAAATTCGGGAGTTCTTTTCTTATTGAAACTATCAGAGTGAGTTTTTACGAGCTGCCGTATCGTCATAATCATCATTAGACTCATCCAACTCTTTCCGAATCCTCTGCATTGTTCTCAGATTGACACCCAAGCACTATGAAATGTTCGTATTTGAGCTTCTGACGCGAATGCAAAGCAGTACAGCATGCCGTTCCCAAATTTCTGGCAGAGTAAATTGCATCATGGTGCACATTTTACCACAGACTGTGTCCAACTGACTTTTCTATACTGTGCAATCGACAAAATCAAAAACAAACAATGCGCATGCGCGAAATTTAAAAAAAATAAAACGGCGACAATTTACCCATTGTATCCTATACTTTTGAATTATAACTGTATCGCTAATTTTCTTTGGGAATTCTAAACCAAAATTTCATATTCTAAAATTTCATGACTAATTTTTCTTCATTAAATTTTAATTATTCTGCAAGTGCGCCCTGAAGTAATAAAAAAAAAGGCTGAGAAAAACTGCTCGAAGTTATTTCTCGTTCTACATTCGAAAAACTCGTTTCTTCATACAACATCCAATTTACCTTTCATTATGTCTGCTTTTCGATAAAACTTTTATAAATCTTTCAAAATCTCGACTTACTGTTTTTTGTATATTTATTTTTTTTTAAATTTTTCCCTTTTCTTTTTTACTTCCCTTTATTTCAGGTTAAAGTGACGTCAGTATGTCTGTGTGTCTTGATTGGACTAGTCGTGTTATTTGACAGCTGGACGGACGCCAGCTGCGCCAAGCCTTGCCTTATCAATTTCTTTAAATGTGTTCGGGGAGAGAACGATGGTTGTTGTTCTGTCTATGGAGGTTGCATGAAGGAATCCTGTGGCTCGGCCACTGTGCAGTAAGTAAAGGAAAAGAAAATTTGCTTTTAATTCCTTTTTTTTCACGCCCCTTTTGTTACGAACCAAATGAGAATTTCCTTTTATTTTTTAACCTTTAAACAGGTACCATCAATTGATGTTTCACTGGAGATTATCAAATATCAATGGTTGATTGAGTTGTTTTTTTTTTATAGCTTATCAACCCTTTGTGGGTTATTTCAAACTGAAACATAATTTTATTGAAAGAATAGCTCCTTATTTAGGGAGACACATCTCGTTGAAACACCGGTTTCCATACGATCACTGATGTTAAGCAACGTCGAGCCTGGTTAGTACCTAGATGGGTGACCGCTTTGGAATACCACGTGCTGTAAGTTTAAATGTGCGGATAGTGTAATAGATAATGGCTCGAAATTGTTAATCGGAGATCCAAGTTCCAATTCCAGTTGGGTTCGTTATATTCACTTACGCGCAAATACCCTTGGGAAAGGCATAAATCCACCTCCTCTTCCCCAGTTATGGGCTAATTAGTAATACTTGTATCAGTAAATCAATATTATCCCCTAAAAGTTCTTTAAATCTAAAAAAAAATATACATGGCTTTAAATAACATGTAATGGGTTGATAAACCGTAGAAAATGAATGAATCAATTTTTTGCGAATGAATATTGGATCAAAAGTTTTTATTTTCGAGAATAACAATGATTTTTACAGATTCAATTCTTACTATTTAATCGATAGCTGGGGGAGGTGATGGATTCATAACTTTGCCAAGGGTATTTGTGCGTAAGCGTAAGTGAATGCAACGAACCCGACTGGATTTCAAACTCCGCTCTCCGATTTAATATTCTGGGGCAGTATCCATTAACCCCTTCTCTGGCATAGACGTGTATATACGTTTTTTACCGAAACTGTCTTTTTCGGACAAGGACGAATAAACACATCCATACTGTTCAAAAACCCAACTACAGACGTGTTTTTACGTCAATCTCGGTTCTTTTGATGTCCTTCTGAGCTCGAAACGAGTTTAATTGTCAACTCATATGTCTGATAGAAGTGTTATGGTAATTTACCCATGCACGCATGGACCCTCCCAGCTATAGGAGTGTCGTTTCCAGCTCTCAGCTCTGATGGTCGGACTGAATATTCTTGCTGTAACACTCTCGTTTGTATTATTGTTTTTCTGTTAATATATTTGTTTAATTCAATTCCTCTCTTGTGTCTTTATTTATGGCCCTAACAAGGCCACAACAGTTAGCCACCGATTGGGTACTTCAAGCTACCTCAGTTTCTTAGTTACTATATTAAAAACAAATTTTAAAAAATCGTCTGAAAATAATTGACGGGGAAGGTGTTAAACGATCCACACTTCCACTAATAGATATCATCAATTGATAATTTAAACTTTTTCCAAAGATACCGGCATTATTCATTGATGATTCGAGTCTAAATAACCAATTGTCAACTCTAAGGTTCGTGACGTCACTATTTACTCGAATTCCTGCGCTTACGTCATTTCCTGGTACCGTGTCCCTTTAAAATGTGGACGATCATAGTTCTTTCAACTTCCTATCCCTTGTAGCCCTTAGCAACGTTTGTCTCTTTGCAATTCCTCCCGACTCCCGTTTCTACATTCATTCACACCATCTCGTCAAATAGATGGTCCGCTGCCTTCACCTGTCCCTTTTGCATTCGATATGTACTATGAGTATCAAATTCTCCAAGCCCTCCTTTCTCGTTATATGTTCAAGAAATTTCAACTGTTTCTTTATAATTCTGTATATAAGTGTCTTTTTTATCTTTCCATTTTCCTTGAGACTTCTCCCGTACTCCATCCATGAAATTCTCAACATCATTTTATACAACAATCTGGAAGAACTCACAATGTTGTGCTTATATGTATACTTCTCGAAGAGAAAAGAGGCGAAAAATGGTAACAGCTTAGTGTAAATAATGCACAGCTCCATTGAACGTGGAATACTACAAGGAATATCACACTGTTAAAAATATTACGACGAGTTAGCGCTGATATTCATGAACCTATCACGTCATTCATCACGGTACCGTATCAAAGTCGAAAGATCATCAGAATGGAATCCCCACGCTATTAATAAATACGTTATCAACGATAAGGTTCATTTACTTACTAAGCTAGCTTAGATCGAAAGCTTCCACGATTAAAGCCTCGTCTCGTATCCTCGTGGGTTTGCCCGAACAGAACAACGCCTTACCGGTTAGCCTACGAATGTTAACCAATAGAATTCGTTAAAATTTAATCACATAGCTAGCTGTATTCTTCTTTATTTGAGTTTTTCTTCACGTATTATTTGTTTACATCTAGTAGTAGTAATAGATATAATAGTCTTAAGTTGTCCGGATTCCTTAACTGAAGCATTGTCGTTATTTTAATTTTTGATGACCTGTTTTTATCTTATTTTTGTTGCATTTTATCATTATGTTCTGGGCGGTAAACACTCTAGGGCCCTTTAGCAAAAAAGTTTGAGTGGGAAATAAAACCTAAGCCTCCGATAAAACTTGAACTCGTATCTTTTACTTCTCTTCAATACATTGAAAATGAAGTCAGATACACGCTTAGGCGGTCATGTATCTTTCGATACATTACTGACGAGGTATATTTTTCCCGCAGTAGGTTGCCACTTGTTTCTGCGGTAGACTAGTTGCCATCCAAGGCTATAAAACCTGGTCTGTCCTGCTACTTACCCATAGCTGGTGGGAGAAGAGGATTAATACCTTTCCCAAGAGTATTAGCACATAAGTGTAAATGTAACAGATTCGACTGGAATTCGAACTCGACTCTCCGATACTTCAATCCGAGCCGCTATCTATTACTCCACGATGCCCCCAACCTACAGGAATAAAATTATCAAAATTGGGCGAGTCTAGCCTTTTCTTCATTCTATTATTGACTTTTCGAAACTTTTTAATTGTGAATACTCTCCAATCTTCAAAGTAAATTAAATGAGTTAGTATGGTGATATCAATTAGTTAAGCCATTAGCCACAGAATAACAAAAGGACTCTTTCTCGGTGTGAAATTTAACAGAAATAAATTTGCTTATTTACAATAGATTTAATTGGAAAGGAAAAAAATCTATAACGGTTTGGTTAAAATATTATTTTGTTACTCTAATAAAAATTAAGTTATGTAGATAAAAATGTTCACATGAATGAAAGTGGGGATTTTCATCAGGTGATAAATTCTTTAAAAAATGACATCGGTAGAAGGAAACAACGAAATTTCACGAGATATTGTTAATGTTTTGGTGATAGGTCAACGTAGTCACAGAACCATCTGTTGTTGAACGAGGAATGTCGAATGAAAGTCTTTGCGATAAACTTGTTGAAAGTGGTACAGTTTTGTAAGATTATGCTAGCAGCAGCGAACAAATTTTTCCGATGAAAACTTTCTCTCACATGTCCCAAATTCTCTCGTCTGCAATCCGAAGTCGTCAGTTGGTATCTCAGAGTCAGATGTCCTCTACGCTTCATGCTGAAATAAAGTGATCTGCTTGACCCTCAGCTGCCATAACTATCCACTCTGACATGTCTGAATGAATAGCGATTTAACCGAACGATCGACGGGCCTAGCTTATATTTACTTCGGGAGGCTCCAGAAGCTATTTTTTAAAATAGCCGATGGTTTTAAATTGTTTTCTTATCATTAGTGGAAAATAATCTTAGGGATGAATTTTCTTCCCAGCATTTTTTTTCAGAACATTCTATTTTTATTATCATGAGCCAGAAGCAGCGTCATCATAATCAGGCGCAGAATCAAGTCTTATCAAAACAGTCCCGTTCGAACACCTTATTGGTTGACTAGCAGCATGGCCCGGCGTTTCCCGTGCTTGATTCAAAAATAGTACGACTCATACAGCAATCGCTATCACTTGACTTAAAATATTTTTGCCCTTCCTTGCCTTTAGCGGAGTGCCCTTTGCCGTGCTGATGTTGTTACATGCCTTACTTCTTGCCTATCTCACACTGCCAACTTTTTCTAAGCTCTATAATAAACATTAAATCTGTTACGAAAAAAGAACTAAACAAAATAAACACAATACGATCAGCTTTAAAAAACCGGAAAAAACATTTTTAAGGGTTGACCGATTGTCGATTTGCACTCTGTTTGGGGGGTGCTCAGAGTTGAAACTTCACATGATGACTCCCAATGGCCTCTTCATAAATCCGCTCGATTTTCGCTAAAAACCGACATGTGGTTCAGACGCAATCTGGGCGTATCGGCTTTTGGGTTTTATCGTTTTCCGCGCTGTTTAGGGGCCCGAGGTCATGAAACTTCTGGACAACACTTCTAATGGTAGACTCTAAGAGGGTGTCAAATTTGGTTGAAATGCGATCATTCCTTCTGTAAGCAGAATTTGTTCGATTATCGATTATTTTGGATTATCGTTTTTTTTCGGAACCTGATTCCGAACTCAAAAATCGGGCTCCGTCATGTCCTTACGGCAGCCATTTGCAAACTTTGTTGAAAACCGCATCGAAATCGGGTGAGAAATGCGGCCTGGGCGAGGTAACAACGCCCACGACAGACACACAGACAGACAACATGTGAAATATAGATAGTAGATAGATAGATAATGAATTGGTTTGTATGTAGTAGCAAGAGAAAGAGGATTGCATTTTTTTCACATTAACTTTTATAGTCGAAATAATGCTGCTATTGTCAATATGACGTGAAGTGAAACATGGCAATGGGTCTATATATTTGATCTCCCTCTGTTTCATGTTACTTTAAACATCGAGTGGCCTTTGACTAAGAAAACTGTGGCAAATAATGATAGGAATAACATCGTTGGGTAATGGTGAACATTTTTCCTTGAGACGATTGACTTTCCGTCCGTCTGTCTCAACGTTAGCCGTAAGTTACTGGCAAAAGCAAACTCAAGAACAAAAACACTTCTTAGTCTTCAACCCAAATAACTGACAGGTTACATTCAATGCCTCCAAAACAAAACTGTTGTAACCTAGAGAAAGGCACTGAACAGAATAATCATACGAAGGTTCGTAATGAACGATAATACTTAGGACAAGAACAACACATATAAGATTCACCAGAAGCGTGTAGAAGTAGTCAACTGCTAGAAGTGAGTCAAGTGAATTCCACAAATTTTAAAATAATCTTTATTACAAAAAATTGTTTACTTTTTGATAAAAAAATCTTTAAATAATTTTGATGAAAAGTCGTTTTACGAAAAGTCACTTCGACAACAAAGAAAACTCATTTTGGCTTCCGGTTGATCATTGAGTCAAAAGTTTCCTTTTTTTATATATACGTGAAAATTTGAGAGTTCCATTCTCTAAATTTATTCCTGTCTGGATGATGATGATGATGATGATGA